GGACCATGGCAGGAGGCTCCACCAGGATCCATGAGAACCTGCAGGACGATAAAGCACAAGAACTCCGGGGAAGAAGTGAAGTTAGTAACATGAGGCTGTGCTCAAAATAAAGACCACGTTTTCTGTTGCCTCTTGTCAGGAGATTGTTCCCACTCTCTTCAGAAATAACCCAGAGCTATGCTGAGGTATTGTAACATTAGTGATTGCCTGCCTCAGTGCTCCCTAATGCTGAGAAACTGACCGGGTGGGTGGTGCTGTTATCAGCTAAGTCATCTCTGAATATCGTGTCCAGAGCCACCAGACGGGCTACCAGCCTCTTATGTCTCTCTCGATAAAGGGAGGGATAGAACAGAGGGAAGCATAGAGCATCTGTCTCATTCATGGTGCATCGGGGATAGTGGGTGTTGTGCCTTAAAGCAAATCCATGTCCATCTTTCCTAACAGAGTCCAGATATTGCTCAACATTTTTGGGATCAGTATCCACTCGTTCAAACTACAAACTATCAGGCTCTGCTTTCTGCAGGCCTGAGATGCAAACTGCCCGGGGGAGGTAGTAACTCTCCAAAGCCTGATATCACAGGTTCTCTGCAGATTTCAACAGCAGAGGGGATAAAATACTCCACTCTTTGTTGATGTACGCTCATATGATGCAGTTGTCAGTTCTACCCGAAATATCCTTGCAACCTATCAGTGGCTTGAAATGATGCAGAACCATAATTTCCAGTAGCATGACGAGCTCATCCAGGCAGGTCACCCCCATTTTGTCACGGAGGTATTTGACACATGAAAGGATATTGTCCCCAGAGATCGTCCTACGGACAGGACTTTTCTGATAGTCCTTCACAGCTCAATGGTCACCATACCCCATCAAAATCTGGTAAACAGTCTCTGCAGGTATTTCATGTGCAGCAGTCCTGGTGGAACCACTGCATGAGCAACTGACTTTGGTTCATGTTTGACAAATTCCAGCAGAACACTTTAGATATAGATTTCAACTTTAGGGGTTGTGTTGTTGTTGGGCTCCACGCTGTCTGCAAAGGGTGATAAAACAACAGTTATATGTAACTTTGACGTCCAACCAGATGTAGTTTGTTTTTAACCTAGACTTGCTGACTCTGTTTCTATTAAAGACACCACTGTCACTGTACCTCGTTATTTTAGTTTATTCTTTGTTTCTTTTATATGTAAACTCAGCGCAGACTAAATTCATTGAGCAATACAATTCAGAGGTTCTGAGGATTCACAGCACGGGTATGACAAGACAAACCTTTCAGACAGAATATGAGAGCTTACTTTTAAGGACCCTTTTAATGTATAGCAGTCAAAATTGTGCTATGCACATGAACAGTGTTGCTTTCCCTTCAACTCAAACCCCACTTGTGTGTGTTAGTGTCATACTGAACTGTACACTTCACTTTACATTTGTGATACTGATTCAGTGTATCTCTCCACAACATGAGGAATAAAGATAATTAAGGTTAAGATTAACCTTATTATTCCCCTATTGGAGAAATTATTTTTTTTAATATAACTAGCAAATGTTAGCATGCTAACACACAAAACAATGCTAAATATCAGCATGTTAGCATTTTCCTGATACGCGTGTTAGCATGTTGACATTAGCATTTAGCTAAAAGCACCACTGTGCCTAAGAACATCCTCACAGAGCCTTTAGCATGGCTGTATATTTGTTTTAATTAATTTATATTTGAGTGACTAGATCCTTTTTTTCTTGGTGTTATATTGTTTTCAACTTAATTGCAAGTGTCTTTGTTTGGATTTCATAGCCCACAGTATAAACTAATAAATAAAGTATGGTTGCTATTACAGTAAATTAAAAATAAAGTCCACCCTAAACCACTTAATCACTGTTGAAAACAGTTGTTGCTAATGTACCATGCCTTTCTGGCTCACTTGTGTTATTAGGGGGTGCATTTTCAAATTCCTGTGGAAAACTGAGCACAATGTGATTTTTCTAGCACAGCTATGATAACAGCAGAAAGAGCAGGAGCATAAGTAACACTTTCAGCAATTTAATTATAAATCAAATATATATAAAACATCAGGGTTTTTAAAGAGCAGTTGAATTCTTGCACTGGCATTAACCTATAGAGAAATCCCTCATAGAAGAGGTAAGACATTTCTTTTTTCCTCAGTAGACCAGAATGTAACACAAATATCTGACAGATTTGAAGAGTTTTAAGTTTTGCTGTTTCTCAGCTGAAAAAACATTTGCTCTCATGCTTTGTCTATGTTATTTCTCTCTTTATTTACACATGTGAAACCCAGTTTATGAAAAAATAATTAATTACAGCACTTTTACATTAGAGAATACCTCTTGACATATGTGTTATACAAGGACCAGATGTGTTCCCACATAGCGTAGAATAACTTAAATGCACTCTCAGTGACTGACACCTTAAGCTTTGATATCCACAACTGAATCTTCTCCAGTCCTCTTCTTCCTGCCGGAGGCTTTTCACTCTTCACCCTGAGTCTTGAGAAAGAAGGAGCGAGAGAGGTATCAGTGGGCGAATGGCTTTAGAGATCGATACGTACCTCTTACTGCAGGGTACCCTCAGCTCACTCTCCCAACGGATTCCAGCTATTTAAGAATGTCTTTCTGGGGATCTGGCCCATTTCTTTCAATTAATGCTCCTTTCAGCCAGCCAACCATTAGAAGTCCATTAAAGCCCCTCCACCCGGGGAGAGTCGTTCAGCCTGTGCTGCTGTGCTCCATCTTCTGATAACAGGAGCGTCTAGACTGCCACTAAGAAATAATTAACCTTTTCAATTGTTACTTAGGAGGTGGATGTTTGTAGGATGTTTGTAGGGTTTCTTTATGTCTTTTGTTCCTCTTGGTTGGTTTCTTTTTGTTTTTTTTCTATCTATCTATCCAAGAAATTACTTTTTTGACAAACTTCAGACAGCATCATGTTCACTAAGCAGCCCCTAATAATTTTCAAATAAACTCCTGACCCCTGACTTGAATTACATTCCTCCAAACATAACTCAGACTGAGTAATCTGTGGTGTCTTTTCATCTCTCTCTCTCTCTCTCTCTCTCTCTTTGATATTTCACAGGTTCTTGCCGGAGAGGAAGCTGATATCACCTCCAGCATGCTGAATACTGATGACGCTGATACCCCTGCAGAAGAACTGGTTTACCACGTTGAGGTGCCAACAAATGGGATGGTGGCATTGAAGGAGGCGCCCGAGGAGGGCGTCCTAAATTTCACACAGTCTCAAATAAACAAAGGGGAGGTCATCTTCATTCACGAGGGTGAGAGACCACAAGGTGGAGTAGACAGGAAGTAACTGCTCATAAAATGCCTTTATCTGACTTTTTGATTATTTTTTTATTAAGATATTGTATATGAATCTATGACCTATGAATTTATGACCTTTATCGGCCCCTATCTTAGACTCCTGGTATTACAGCACCTTATTTTAAACTCATCACCTTCTGTAAAGAGATATATTGTGGTTCTTTTGTGTCATGAGATTAATTGAGAGTAATCTTTGCTGCTTTATTGTGCCAAATAAAAATGTCACTTTCATCAGGGCCACAGAGCAAGTTTTAAATTTCATTCTGCTTTTATAATTAGTAATATAATAGATAATAAGCAGTAGATATAAATAAGCAGTGTGATATAAATTAAAACATAAGAGGAAAGAAAGAAACTAAATAAGTGAATGAGCATAAACTCATGTCCTCTAATGTACCTCCAGGTGAGGAGTCTGGTGGTTTCAGTTTCACCGTGACAGATGGAGAGCACACATCTCCTCTCTACCGATTTGTTGTCACAGCCAGGCCTCTCACCATCACCATGGTAACGCAGGAGGAGCTCGTGGTATTTCCAGGTAAAATGCCAATATTCTTCAGACCTAGTCATTACAGCAATAGGCCTTTTTTATTCATTCTGTTTTGCATCTATGTCAGAAATACTAAACATGTTCAAAAATATTTGACCAAGAATAAGTCCTTGGAGTTTGTCTTTCCTGCATGTTCATTTTTCAATAGCTACAGTATTTTAGTAGAAGTTGAAAGTAATTTTGACCACTGGCTGAAAAATAGTTTTTTGCTGAATTGGCATGCAAATAATAAAAGTATACCATTTTCTTCTCATTCTTTAAGTTACCTTCAGTAGAAAATATACCAATTCAACACATTTAGGAGATAAAGTAAGATCACAATCAACAATACAAGAAAGATAAAATACAACTTTCTTCCAAATATTTCCATAAAGATTGAAATAGTGTCTATCGTTTTGATATTTAATGCAGTTTAGGTCTGGGATTTTTGTTTTGATATAGAACTCACATGGAGTAACAGAAATTCAGATTAAATACTGGATGTAAACGTTTTAATAATACATATTTTAAAAAGCACCTTTCTTCTTTTTGGTACCTATTTTTATTTTTTTCTCTATTATATCTGAAAATTCTGCAGACTTAGATGTAGCGTTAATTTTGTGTCAGAGTTAATGTGCCAGAGAGTTTTATATTTTAGTTACTTGAGTAATTCTAAAGATGTAGGAATTTAATTTGAGACTCTGTAACTAATGCTAAAAAGCGGCCACTGTGACAAAAAGAGGTAATTACAAGATAATAGCACAATGGATTTGCTTAAATCTTATCTGACACATGCTAAAATGTTGTGTAACAGGAGCACAAGTAAATAAATCATAAAACCATTAAACTTAACAAGCTAATAATCATACCAGGCCAAAACCCCTGTATTGAATTCAACAAGGGAGCATTTTAAGCTTACTCTTCCTTTTACAGTCAAAACTTTTAAATGTTTAAAATGTTCCAGTGCACCAAAGAGAAGGTGTCTCAAGTGTGTATAAAACAAAATGTCACTTTGTTTTTAGTAGTTAAAGAACATTTCAACTTCTCCAGATAAAACTTTTCAGAAGTGAAACTATTTCATGGGCACATGTGTCAGCACAGGCAATAACCTTATCTCTATTAGTAATAAGCTTTACTTTTACGCATGACATAGGACACGAGTTTGAAAACTTGGAAAACATTTTGGAATGAAACTCTCACCATCAGGAACGTCTTCAGCACAGTAATGTACATGGGTTACTGTAACCGCTAAAGTTTGAGGCAATTCCAGGCTCTACTTAATTTCACAAGCTCAAGACTTCCAAGAGGCAATTTTCCATAGAATCATCTAAACACTCAGAGGGTTGTGTGTGTGTGTGTTTCACAGGAACAAGGCAGCCTATCACAAGTGCCAATCTGGGGGCTGTAACCAATGAGGATGGAAATGAGATAAACTACTCACTTACCCGCCCACCTCGTTTAGGAAGACTCATCCTGGCCAATGACAGGAATCAGTATGAGGAAATTACTCGTTTTTCACAAACACAGGTAATTACTTTTTCTGTGTGTGATGCTAAATGTGTGTTTCTGGGATCTATTTCTTTCAGGAAGCATTTAACTAATTTCCATTCCTCCTTTATTAAAAATAATGTACTACATTAATCTTTAATGATAATAATTAATTGTTAGAAAAAGTAAAACAATAAACATAAAAACAGCTGACTAACAGCAAAATATAATAAGTGGATAAAAAAACTGATCTGAAATCTTGTGATGGAATTTTTCTTTAATGTTCAGTTCGTTTTCTTCTTTTCGAATAAATCCTCTCCACTTTCAGGTTTAACACTCCTATTAATAGCAGGTTTGTGTTACTAAGCACTCAGAGCTCTTAAAGGTACTCCAGTTGCTTGCTGCATAGATCATCAAGCAAACATGTAAGAAGACATAACGATGCTTTAATGCATAAAAACGC